CCGAGCAGGGAGCCCGATGCGGGGCTCGATCCCAGGACCCTGGGATCACGACCTGAGCCGAAGGCAGACGCTTAACGACTGAGCCACCCAGGCGCCCCGATATAAAAGTCTCTTAAGCCAAGGAGCAGTAATTGCTTAAGTACCCTCTTTACAAGTGGGTGCAAGAACAGAAAGATCTCTCAAGTCATTGCTAAACTTATGAAGAGATTTTTTACACTCTATACTAATATCATTGACCTAATTATCTTTCAAAAGTCTTTTTTGAGCTTTAAAGCAATTTATTTAAGATTACTGTAATTTAAACATCACCACAAGCCAATCATGATCACAAATATATTACAATATTTAAAATCTTTTTCAGGGCGCCTGGGTGGCGCAGTCAGTTGAGCATCCAACTCTTGGTTTCAGCTCAGGTCGTGCTCTCAGGGTCATGGGATCGAGCCCCACATCAGGCTCTGTGCCCAGCGTGCAGTCTGCTTAAGACTCTCTTTTCCTCTGCCCCTCCCTGCCGTGTGCTTTCTCTAAAATAAATAAATCTTTAAAAAAATTTTTTTCAAGTTTTTCTTTATTGAGAGTATAGTGAACATTTAGAAGTATAGACTTTAAAGTGACTTAAGTATAAAAACAGTGAATTAAGCATCAACTCAAGAAAAATCCTCAAATTATACCTCATAAAACAAAATTACTTGAAAATTATAGATTAATGGCTCAACTCAGTGTGAATTACTTTATAACAACAACATGCTCTGTGGATAAAACTGAACTGGCTTGCTTTCTTTACCTTCACTACAGAATGGCTTATCAACCCCTGAGAATCGGACAGTCTCCTTTATAATTTTCTGCAATTTACAGTAGTCACACATTGCCATAACTTTATGTTTCTTTTTGTATTCATCAGAGCAAGTCTTGCCACAAAACAGAAACATTTTACCCTGCAGAGAGAAAAAAAAATAGTCATTAAGACCTAATTAAACAGTTGCTTTATCTTTAAGAAATCATTCTCCTCATTTCAAAGCAAATTAAGTGACTGTCGAAGATGAAAAGACAAATGCTTCTGATGGATACATTTATATTCCATCCCTTTCATGATTTCTCTTTACCTTGTAGAAAAGGAGTTCTGGTTTTGTGGCAAACAGATGGCTACAGTGTTGACACTTGAGTTTAACAAGTGTCTGAGCTACAGCAACTTGGGATGGGGCAGCAAGAGGCTGGAAACTGGCTGTGGCAGAGGCAGAGCTGCTGATGGAGCCGGTGGGACCGGAACCGGAACCGGCAGAGGCGTTACCTCCTGTAGCTGACACTGCTGACCCAGACGGTGGGCTTACAACCACTTGGCCCTGAGATGGGGGTGCCGCTGAAGAGTTTGTTCCTTTGGGCTTGTTAAATACATTCTGGAAGAACACAAATAAGGCAAAGATTTAGCAACTAAGAAGTAACATGACTTGGGTAATTTTCGTTTTCTTGTTTTAATAAATTAATGCCCCCACAAATATTTCCTTAACACTTTATAAAGTACTTCACAGGAAGAGTTTAAATGGCATACTTCCAGAATAGAAGGACTGAGAAATGCAACATTATAAGGTTAAGGACTGGAATTAGGGCTTCCCAGACACTTCTAATACAGGGCTCTAATAAACTAAAGCAGACCCCTTCTTTCCCTCAAAATACCCCTCCACTGGCACGCCCATCACCAACTAGCCTCTGATGGCCATGAAGAGCATGGTGGCCACCAGTGGTCTCTTTTGCCCTGGTGCCAGGGACATTTTATCAGGCATCTTGCCATCCCAGAGGGTCACTAAACTCTACATGCTCCATCTGTCTCAGAGAGTGAGGAACAAATGGGACAAGTAAATGGAGGCTTACAATTTCATGCCAGGAGTCATTACATTTGGCCCAGGATGAGAGGAAGGGACACATGAGGACTTATCTGAACCATATCTTAAGTTTCCATCCCTTTGAAAGGGAGAGAACCAAAGGCAAAAGTGGGAGGGAAGGGTAGTTTATGTAGGGACCCTGAATAGGGAAGACGGCACTGAGGCTCAATACCTGGCTGAGACATTTTGCAGAAATGACTTCGGGGACCAGAGTTGAACAGAATTTTTTTCTTTCTAACTTAAATTTAATCTTTTGTAAATACAGACCTTCAGCAGTTAACATAAAAGAACCTCAGGGGTAAAATACTACCTTAGATCATACCTGGAAAGCCACCACACAATTGGAGCTGCAGAAGCTGTATATGGTTCCATTGGACATGGCTAGGTGATACTGAGGGATTGCTGAGGTTTTACAACTATGACATGAAACCTGGACACCTTGGTAAGAAAAAATAAAAACCAATGAATAAGCTACATAGATGAACAAATGATCCAAAAGTGTATTAGAAGGATTAAAAAATAGTAATATACAAAACTAAAATCAAGGAACTTTACAATAATCTGTGCTAACTGCAACTAATCGCAGTGAAGTCCTACTTACACAAAAATTTAGAAGTTACAAGTGATTTTTTTTTGGTCTTTCTTTTCACATAGAAACTACAAAATAAATACCTCAACCAAGAAAATCAGTGAAAAACTATTTTCACTTAAAAATGAGTTCTCGGAAACTAAATCTTGGGTCTCAGTTTAACCACATAGATAAATTCAGTTTGTAACAAAATGAAAGAAAAGCAGCTACACTGAATAGTTACTAAATCTATAAATTTATCGAATTTAAACATTACCTGAAGAAATAACTGTCTTAACTCTGTAAGCAGATAAGCAATTAATAGAGCAGAAAAGCTCAGTTTTTCCTGAGTCATTGGTAGTCTCAATCATTTCAGCTGAGGGCCTCAATGATTTCCCCAAGGCATATGGAGGAGTTTGGGCTGAATTCTATCAAGAAAATAAAATAACATTTAGATACCTAGCACAAACATACAAGTTGTATAAGAAAAGAAAAAAGAAAACCTACCTACAAAGACTGCCTTTGGCTGAAATATTTGAACATGATTATGAGGCCACTCTATAGATTTTTCTCGAAGTTGGGATGTGGGAAAAATAAGTTCTTTCAGACAATAATAAAATGAAACTGAAGAAAATTAGTAACTACTCATGTATATTAACAACAAAACACATCAAAGGTAATTAATTTGGTATTTGTAATGCACTTTTTTCAGTACAAATAATCAAGGATGACCAGGTAATCCATGAACCAAAGGGCCATCCTCACCAGATCTTGGACATCAATCTAGAAGATCATCTACCACCTTTAAGATTACTTAACCAGTTAAGACTCTTTAGCAGGAGGAAACAGAGATGATGTTCAATGTATATTAAGAGATCTTACAGAACTACCTGTTTTTCAAGCTCAGTTCACAATAAAATCTGCCTGTAACTTTACTCATGTTTTAAGAAACAATAATAATAATGGCTACCATTTACATAAATTACCAATATTATTATTTATTCGGTGCTTGCCATGAGCTAGGCCCTATGCTAAATAACTTATATACTGTATCAAAGAATCCTTTCAACAACATAGTGAGATACTTTAAGAAATTATATTAACAAAAAGGTTAAATTAATTTTAATTCAATTAACAAATAAACAGAAGAGTGGGAGATCAAACATTTCATCTCACTCCAAAGTTCCAGACTAACCACTACCCTATACTGTCACTGACACAACATAAAGTCTCTAAATGAGAAGTTATATGGGGTAGGTATTTATCCCAAAGATACAAATGTAGTTATCCGAAGGGGCACCTGCACCCCAATGTTTATAGCAGCAATGTTCACAACAGCCAAACTATGGAAAGAGCCCAGATGTCCACTGACAGATGAATGGATAAAGAAGATGTGGTGTGTGTATATGTATATATATATATAATGGAATACTACTCAGCCATCAAAATGAAATCTTGGGGCACCTGGGTGGCTCAGTCGTTAAGCGTCTGCCTTCGGCTCAGGTCATGATCCCAGGGTCCTGGGATCGAGTCCCACATCGGGCTCCCGACTCGGTGGAAAGCCTGCTTCTCCCTCTCCCACTCCCCCTGCTCATGTTCCTGCTCTCGCTATCTCTCTCTCTGTCAAATAAATAAATAAAATCTTTAAAAAAAAAAAGCTTGCTATTTGCAACGACATGGATGGACCTAGAGAGTATTATGCTAAGTGAAATAAGTCAATCAGAGAAAGACAATTATTATATAATCTCACTCATACATGGAAGTTAAGAAACAAAACAGAGGATCACAGGGGAAGGGAGGGAAAAATAAAACAAGACAAAATCAGAGAGGGAAACAAACATAAGAGACTCTTAATCATAAGAAACAAACAGAGGGTTGGGGTGCTTGGGTGACTCAGTTGTTAAGCATCTGCCTTCAGCTCAGGTCATGATCCCAGAGTCCTGGGATGAGCCCTGCATCTGGCTCCCTGCTCAGTGGGAAGCCTGCTTCTCCCTCTCCCACTCCCCCTGCTTGTGTTCCCTCTCTCGCTGTGTCTCTGGTCAAATAAATAAAATCTTAAAAAAAACAAACAAACAAACTTGAGGGTTGCTGGAGGGGAGGTGGTTAGGGGAATGGGGTAACTGGGTGATGGACATTAAGGAGGGAACATGATATAATGAGCACTGGGTATTATATAAGACTGATAAATCACTGAACTCTACCTCTGAAACTATAATACACTATATGTTAATGAATTGAATTTAAATTAAAAAAAGAAGGGCCTCTGACCCTCCCCCCTCTCATGTGCTCGCTCTCTCTCATTCTCTCTCAAATAAGTAAGTAAAATCTTTAAAAAAAAAAAAGATTTTATTTATTTCAGAGAGAGACAGTACGTGCACAAGTTGGGGAGACAGGGCAAGGGAGAGGGAGAAGCAGATTCCCTGCTGAGCAGGGAGCCTGATGTGGGGCTCGATCCCAGAACCCTAAGATCATGACCTGAGCCAAAGGCAGACGCTTAACCAACTGAGCCACCCAGGCGCCCCAGAAAATACATTTTCTAAAAGGAAAAAGATATGCTTTAGATCCACTGATTTTTATCATCTATAACTGGTCATAGTTTATTTATATGGGGCTATCTTCACTTATCACTGTATCACAAAATATTTCAGACTCCTCGCAAAACATGAAATCCCATTTGTGAATTCCTGACCACCTGTATCATCTCACTACCACAATCAACACTTACACCACCAGAATCTATCCCACTTTTCTGCAAGGGAACTCATACACCAAGATCAACTGATCTTGTTTATTTTGCATTTCATCCCTGCAGGGCCACCCTGGAAGGAGCGAGCCTAACTATGTGTGACAGACAGATCTTCATACCTGCTTATACGCTGTGACACTTGTTGAACTAAAAACCTTCTGGGACTGGCATGGGCCAGAGCTACTATAGCAGTAGCTTCCACAGTTCTCGCAACAGTTCATGGTCAGGTTGTTGGCGGAGTGAAATTTTGAAAAACAGGCATCACTACAAAGACCATGCACCACATTTTGATACTTAACTTCAAATCGAATCTAGGAAATAAAAACACATACACATCCAAAATCAGCAAAGCCAATCAAAAATCTCAGATCTTTGAGCAGAATCCCAAAAAAGGTACAACGTGACTTACGTCGGCATTCTTCTGACACATACTGCACTTGGTTGAAATGCTATTGGTATATATGGTGACAACAGGTTTTTTCTTTAGCTCATAAGAAGAAAGGCATGATTGGCTGCAGAAATCTTTGCTAGGAGAAGAATTTTCAAATCGGGTTGTGATCACATCCTTTGGATTTAAAATGTCTCTAAAAATAAATAACAAAGGCAAAATGAAATGTGTACTTCGTAACTGTAATTTCTTACACACTGTGAGCTAAAATAACTACATTTACTAAGGGCAGCTACTGCATAGGAGAAAACAGCTGGCCTGGAATAAGGCATCTGCAACCCTGAGTTTGAGGACTAGTTCTGTTACTTAGCTGAGTAACAATGACTGAAGTAATTACTCTCAATTTTTTGTGTATAACATGGGTTTATGATACCTAATTTATGGACGTGTTGAGGGCAAATTATATTTAAAATATATCCAGCTAGATGTTCATGACAAAAACAGTGAGGCTTCCAGCTCCAACCAAGTTTCATCCACTGGAGCCAATGGAACAAGTAGCCATCCCAAAATTCCAGACCACAAAACACTTGTCCTCTTACTAGCCAGCAGCTGCCAAGAGTAGAAACATGAGTGAGACAAGGAATGACATGTTTTGGGTTTTTTTAATTGAAATGCAAGATTTGGGAAAGAGATGAACTACCAAAGATTAATATAAAAAATCAGCATGATATATAAAACTTAACTATAAATGAAGAGAGTAAGGGAACAAATAAAAGAACTATTAAGGTTTAGTAGCAGAGGACAGATGGAATTAAGAATAAGACAGAAAGAACACAAATAATCGAGCCGTTCTGTAAAACTCAAGTTATTTTGTAAGACCTCATTGCTATAATAAGCACTGACAGTAAAAACAAAGACTAAGTATTGCCATTTTCCTGATCAGTGTAAAAAACTAAAGGAAATGGTCATTAGAAGCACTAGTAGAGGTCACAAAGAATATAATGGCAATAATATTATATATAGTAATGTGTACTGAGTAATTCGTATGTACCAGACATTGTTCTCTTTATTCAAATTACCCAACTTAATTATCAAAAAAATTCTGTGAGTTAAGTATTATTATAATTGCTCCTTTACAGATGAGGAGACCAAATCAGAAAGGTTAAATAGTTTGTCAAGGTCACACAGCTGGTAAGCAGTGAAGCCAGAATACAAACTCTAGGCAGTGTGATTCCACAGTCCATGGAGTTAATCATTCCACTATTCTGCCTCCCATCCTGTGCCTTTATTATACAGAACTGTTCCATGGTAAACTATCAAAGAATAACAATAACAACAAAGTACTGTAATTTTCTAAAACTCACCTAACCTTAAAAATAGGACAGTGAATCTTGGAAACCAAGTGGATATGCTTACACACGGATGAAGTTATTAATTTTGAAAAGTGATTTTTCTACTAAAAACAAAGCAATAAAGAATGTTATTTAATAATGTGAATCTGCCAGTGGTATAATATACACATACGTAAACCAATGAGAATGATTTTTTAATGGAAATCTGTGCACATAAATATAAATGCATTCTACATCTTATGCATCCAAATGAAACTTATACCTTAACATTTATCTTAAAAAAAACCATACACCTTCCAAAAACATGGCTCCAACATTCTTCTAATTTCTTTTATTTACAAGAACTCTAAGAACAACTTTTCAGTGTTATAGTCAAATATCATGTTTAAGAGTATGACTCAGTTGAATTCGTCTACGATAGTCAACTGATAAAGGCATCAAGCAACTTTTTGGCACTTTGCAAAAACCATGGTATAAAGATAGATTTGTCATCTAACTTGGTCTAAAGGAATGTTTCATAGGCTCTGAATGCAATGCCAAATCAAGAGATCAAAACAAAATTTTGAATAAGAGCAGCACTGTGGTAAAATGTCTCTGACAAGAGTGACTATTTTTAAGAGAATAATATGCATTTGGATGTATAAGTTGTGCTTTGTTCTTTAAAATTTAATTCATTTTGATATCTGATATGTTGAAACAGAGTATATAGAAACAGAAAACTAAATTTACCCTTCCAAATCAGTTTCATGAGAATGTATAGAAGAGTTTAAGTAAGGTATTAGAAGGACATTTTAGAACAATATTAATTTGAATATTTATGTAAAATATTTTTAAATTCCTCTTTCTTTTTAGTTGGAGATTTCCATTTTAACAGGATCTACTTTTAGATACGTAAGGCCAACACCCAGGCAGATAAAGACACTGTCATCTATCTCCAAAGAAAAAATAGGAGCCTATAAATTCTATCTTAATACACATAATAATAATTTTATTATTAAAAATAATAGGATCCCACTTATTAAGCATTTGCTATGTGCCAAGCCCTGGGCTAACACTGTTTCATTAAAATCTGAGTAAGTAGATACTATTTACTAACAAAGAAATGGAGACTTAAGAAAGTTAAAAATCTAGACCCAACGTCATATAGCTAGTAAGGGATTAGAGCCATGATCTAAACCAAGCTCTTAACTTTTTTCACTCTACATTAATGACTACTGACAATACAATGTGTTCCTAGAACTACACTACCACAGGAACAGGCAGAACATGCCAAATTTTTCAAACATACTAATGTAGAGAAAGAAGTTTATGTGGCTTTGTTGCTATTTCTTCCTTTCTCTGCACCTATGTGTGACTGTAAAGCAACAATAACCTCCAACAAAAACTTACAAGGATGTTTTAGAAATAAACACATTACTTTTGTAACCATTTAGAGTTTTTTATCTTCTAAAGAATTAAATAACTTATATAATAAGACTACTGTTACTGTATTCTATACTTCAATAACTTTCAAGATAAATAGTTGTGAATGGTTGCTATCTACAATTACAGAATAAATGAGTGGTCCTACAATTTCCACAATTGGTTTATTTCTTTTCACGGTAAAATTTAAGCTTAAAGAGACAGAAAGCTGGTTTAGATGACACTTATAAAACCAAGTCTCTTATCTAATGTTACAAAACTTGAAAATCTGCAAATTTCTCAATCAGCTAAATATTTCCATAGAAACATGCTAAAGAGATTTAAAGTAGCAATCGCATCTTTGGTTCTTTTGGTTTTTTTTAACAATAGCATATGTGAGCTAAACTATATACACACTAAAAAAGAAAAGTAAAAAGGGATGTAATTAAAAATTTTATACTTTGAACAGTTTGTGCAGGTTTTCTTGGGAAGAGGTGGCACGCAGACAGGTGAAGAATATCCAGTGATGCACCGCGTGGAGCAGAAAAGCTGAGTAGATCCTGTCTTATGATATGCAGTTTGGCCTTTATAAAGCATTTTTTTACAACCAGAACAAAAAACCTGAATAGCTATGGCTGGAACCGAAGGAAGCAATATGTTTGGGCCAGATGATGCAAGAGAAAACTGAAAGCCTGGGGTCAACTGTTGGGCTATAAATACAAAATAAGGGAGGGGGGGAAACAGTTTCAGTATCGACACAAACAAATATACATTCTCCATTTTTTAGGACAAATTCTCAGTCTTGAAATCCAATAATAATGAGGCAATAAATACTCTAAAACAGGGGTTTTCAAACTTTTTTAACCATAACCCATAGTAAGAACTATATTTCACATTATAACTCAGAAGACATATATTTTTGTATGTGTGTAAAATTTAATAATTGAAACAGTAGTTTCATGAAATCATGTTTCTTTACATGCATCACACTTTAATATAATCTTAATTCTATTCCCACTTTTTATTTCTTCATACATATATATATATTTTTTATTTTTATTTTTATTAAGATTTTGTTTAAGTAATCTCTACACCCAACATGGGGCTCAAACTCACCACCCTGAGGATCAGGGTCACACACTCCACCAACTGAGCAGCCAAGCGCCCCTCTATTCCACTTTTTAAAATGCTAGTCAAGAGGGGCGCCTGGGTGGCTCAGTTGGTTGGGCGACTGCCTTCGGCTCAGGTCATGATCCTGGAGTCCCAGGATCGAGTCCCGCATCAGGCTCCCTGCTCGGCAGGGAGTCTGCTTCTCCCTCTGACCCTCCTCCCTCTCATGCTCTCTGTCTCTCATTCTCTCTCTCTCAAATAAATAAATAAAATCTTCAAAAAAAAAAAAAAAGAAACTGCTAGTCAAGACCAGCTACCCAGTTCAAAAAGTACTGCTTTATCCTAAGGGAAAAAAAACTTACATAAGGAGGCACTTTCCCTCAATTCTACTAGCCAGAATATAACAATATTAATCATAATTAACTTATACAGTTCTATTTCTTACCAAGAGGACTGTCACCGACTGAAAACACAGCACTGATTTTCAGTTCACTTTCTTGAGTTTTTGGCTTTGGGGCATGTCCGTACTCCTTCAAGAAAAAAAAGAGAGAGAAATGAACACAGTGTTAGTATCTAAATAAACTAGAAATTCAAGCAAAAAATAATACTGTCATATCTCTTCTACATTCTAATCATAATCACCTTCACAAATACCTCAAAAGTCAAAATTTCTAAATTGTCAGACTAGATTTAATCTTTACAAAAAGGACCTTTTTCAGTTGTAACTACTTTTCAAATGTAATCTCATACATAGCTATTTCAATGTTGAGCACTACCCTTTTTTTAGGCTGTGTTTATAAGGAAACAAAAAATAAAATTAAATCTGAATGATTCAGAGATTGGATCCAATTAGTAATTTTAGCCAACAGACTTACAAACTGTCATATCTGTTAATGGCAGAAAAGACACAAGAGTTTCAATGCAATCTGTTCATTATACATAGAATCATCACAGCCTAAATCAGATTTATCCTAATTATACATTCTTTAAAATGCTTTAAGATAAAATATAATCATAAAACAAAATTTTAAAAATACATATATGTATTTTGAAAAAGACTGTTCTTTATTCTGAGATCACAACCATCCTACTTTTTTTTTTTTTGGTATTAAAATACATA